GTTTTTCTGCATTTTAATGCTGCATATATTTAATAAACTCAAAGGACAGACTCCTACAAACAGCTCCTCTTGTTGGATTATATTAATTAAAGGTGAATGTCATCAAAGTGACTTGTTCTGTCACATTAATGCTTCATTTTTATGGACATTTTAGTTGGTAATGGGTGTTAAATTGTGGGGCAAAGTGAATGAGAAAGGTGTTTTATGAATTTTGAAGCACATTATTATGTCTTTTGGACCAATAACAAGGAGCTGAAATGTGGAAAAACTAAATCTCTCCATGCAGCTCAACTGTTGATGCCTAATCGTTAACACAATGGCTCTAAGTTCGAACTTGTGATGATCTGAGAGTCATACGTAAATGTTGCTTGGTCTTACAGAAATGCAGCCAGGTTGCTCACTGAGACGTGAGGCCGACATGTTCAGATGTTGTCAGATTAAAGGAAAGAGCTTCTGAAAAGGACTTGAGACTCCTCCATCGTGCTGACGCTGGAATATCTGGCAGAGCGACACTAACCTTTGCTTTGTGTGTCTCTATTCTGTGCACAGAGTCTTTAAATACTGTGATGATGCAAAAACAAAGACGAACGTAATCAAAGTACAATGAATACTATACTATAACTGCATATGAAGCTGTGGAAGATGGCTCGTGAACACCTGGCACCTATGAAAATATTGACTCAGATTGAAACCCCTGCTAACGGGGGCTTTTCTCTTGACATACCCCGTCATTGGGTTGCCTTCCTCTGCTTTTCCACTCTACCAAGATTTCATGCTGATTAAAATAAACACACACTCTGGAGGCATTACCCACTTTGGGGAGATAAGTGGTGAGAAAAATGGTTAACAAAAAGTTGGGGGATGAGTATCTGCAGAAGAGATGAACCACAGGAAAGAAAGAAAAGCACACCGGAGATTCATTTTTCTCCAAGGACATTTCATTTACTGCTACTAATCAGATGCTTGCTCATTCCAGCCATTTATCTTTCAGCTCTACTGGGGAAGCCTTCACAAGCGTTGTTGGTGAGATGTTACGCATAAAGCTTCCCCCTGGAACACCTGCAGTGCTTCAATGTGTCCGTGTGCTCAGGAGAGCTTATGCTGGGGGGGTTACGTAAATGTTTTATTTCTCTACAAAGAGCCTCATACTCTCCCTATATTGGCTAACGCAATCAATAATCAAGACAAATTTTCTTCTCGCTGTCGGCGTTTGCGTATCAGCGGCTCTAAGCGAATGTCAGCTTTTTTGAACTTCCTTGTGTGTGACAAAGTACGTGAAAGGTTGACGGAGAGAGTGTGAGAAAAGGAACAGACAGAGAGACAAAAACACATGTACTGTGCGTTTGTCTCTCGGCCAGTGAATGAAATATAGGGCCTGAAGTGTGTGTGTGACTGTGTGACTGTGTGTGTGTGTGTGTGTGTGTCCTGGCACGTGTGAGGTGGTGTGTGGGCGTCGAGAGGGAAAGCTCATAAAACCCATGATCACACTGATGAGGTCACGGGGAGTGAAACCGGAGAAAGCCTTTCATTTCCTGTCTCATTCCATCCCTCTCTCTCCTACCTCCATTCATCCATCTCTCCTCCACACTCCTGTCTATACTGCACTCCTGTTTTTCACCGCTGATGCCAAAAGTCAGAGTCTTTCTCGCCCCTCTGGCTATCTGGAATTTTTCACTGTGTCACCTAACAGCGGAAAACGAGAATACGAGAGAGAGAGTTTTGTTTTTGAAAAATCTGACTGAGGTTTGCGTTCAGCTTTTGACAAATGAGTCTAGAAAATGTAATTTTGGGTTCTCACATTAAAACTCCTTCACTTGTGATCTGGTTTTTACCACTAATGTGCTCGCACATGTAGCGCAGTGTAATGGCTATGTGTTTCTGTCATGTTACGCTGTCGGGCTGCCTTTCTTTAAAACGCAGCAGCTCGTACAAAGTGTGTCAAATATCAGAAAACTATTTTTAAAAAATAGTCCAGAAACCCGAGATGACATGATTAAATGTAATGACAATCCGAAGATGTTCAGCTTGCAATCATTTAAACAGAGAAAAGCAGAAGAGCCACACAAATAACAGTTTGTAATCCATTAATTTTGGCTTTAAAATTGACTTGAACATGTAATCACTTAATTGATTCGCTATTTTCTGTTACTTAACCAACCAGTTAGTTGACCGATTGTTGCAACTCTAAAGCGATTTAAAGTAAATCACATACAGGCTGGAAATTATATCCAAAAACACAAGGACACACTCACTCAGACCTACACATGGGTTTTTGCAAACATTGTAGAATTTCTTTAACAATGCTGCCCTCTTCCAAAGCTGAAATTACTGAAACTTGACAAAACAAAAGATTTAAATTGAGCAATCTGCATGACCAAACTCTGGACATGTTTGAAAAAAGCACACACACAAATATTTGAAGCTAATACAGTGGGTTGTAGCTTATTGTTCCACAGGGCCCCGATTCATGGAAGTTTGCTAAACAGTGGGTTTGGGCTCAGCGGATTGCCAAGTCCATCACCAGATGTTGAGAGTCAACATGTGAGTCTGACCACAGACTGGAAGTAGACACACTGCTTTTCTCACAAAACAAAAAAACGGAGAACCGGAGTGAGTGAGTTGTGGCACTGCTGCTGCTAACCCTGAGTTATCTTCTGCTGGAGGAAACCAGCACTAAGGCTTTGCAATCACAGTGTGGCGATGATAACCGCCGACCAACAGAGGAAAGGAGATGAAAAGAGGCTGATGTTACTGTGGATATGAAGAGATGATTCTTAATGTCTAACTGTTTTGTATGCATCACCTAGTAAATAAAACAGACATCTAAATACTGCAATATACCGTTCTATAGTATCTCTGACGCTAAAGCAGGAACGGGATGGAATCAAAAATGGCCGACACCTCCTGCACTGACAGCTGATGACTGTTTAGCGGTAAATATAAAGCTATTTTGGTAACACATTAGCAATCCCTTCCTCCCTTCCAACACTGAACATCTCTGTGATTTGTGTGGATATTAGGGTTGGGCTATTGGACGAATATCATCGGCCGAGTCCACAGATTCTATTCTGGGGTAAAAGCCAACAGCAACAACTGTTCCTTCCGCTCTTGTTTTAAATCAGAGCGTTGTCAAAGTGTGAGAGAAAGAGAGAACAGAACGCAGCACTACGATGAAATAAGACTTTAAATAGTAAGAAAGGGGAAAAAAAATGCCTATGTAGTGGTCAGTGTTGATATTGTGCTGCAAAACTGGACTCTTAAAAGTTTCGGACGTCTCCAGAAATATATCGAACTGATCCCCACAACGTGTATCGTAATCAGAGTTTACTTGCCTTGAAATTTGCGGAGCTGAAGGACTAAATCCTCTTTGGCTTTTGCCATCACACCAAACTTTCTTTTTGTACTTTTTACACCAGACAGCACTGCAGCCTGTTCGCAGAGCTTCAGACCTCTAATACCTTTTTTTGACAGGTGGTCTGAGAAATCCGAGCTCAACAGAGAAAGCTATATTCTCCACTCGATGCTTGCTTAGCAGGACGCACTTACTGGCTGTGAGAACTATTCTCTCTGCTCCTGTGTGAAAGAAAAGTTAAGACGATTTTCTATCCACCTGAGTCTCGGTGGCTGAACAAGAGACAACAAAAGGGAACCCCGCGTGACCACTTGGGATGTTTTTCTTTGTTAATTTGACTTTTAATAGCCCGTGACTTATAAAAGAACAAAAGCGTGTTTTTATGAGTGTGACACTCATTTAATCGCTTGCTTACCATCAATTTTCTTCACATTTCACCGAAACCTCAAGGCACACCTGAGCTCACTTCGTAACACAACAGCCGAGAGCCGGTGCAGCAGAGGACAACAGAGAAGTACACAACTCCTCCCGCGGTTACTCTGCTTCTTATCGCCGGCTCATTACTGGTCAGTGTTTGACAAAAACTCCATGGGGTAGCGGTAGCTGGCTGCCAGATTGCCTGTCCCATCTGTGTGCTCACGTTTAGTAGAGGGAGGAAAATTAAAGGCGGGAAAAGCAGGAATGGTGCTGAGGGAAGCTGTGTGTGCTTTCTACCAATACATGTGTTCCAAAAAACGCTGGAAACATAAAAAAAAAAACACGAGAGGCTGCGCCGAGCTACAGGATATGAGATCAAAACAAACACAAGATAACAAAATGACAAGAAGAGTTAGCGTCAAACGGAACGAGGCACCTTGATTAAGCAGGAATTTCTCAACAAAAAACTAAACTGAATGCGTATAGAAAGACGATGAAATACAGTATGTGAATCTGTTCTCAGATCATCGCCGAGCAAAACTGCCACAAATCATTAATCCTGATCGAACATCTCTTTGTGTTTGTGTGTCTAGAATATATAACATTTGTGCGCCCGGGGGGAGATAGCGGAGCAGCAGCAGCACTAAGAGTGATTAGGTATTCTGCATCCAGTATAAGGTTTAGCACGGGGGACCCGGGGCTTTCTCAGAACCATATTTTATGTATGTTTTTTTTTTATTTTTTATTTATTCCAGTTTCATAAAAACAAACAAATTAGATAATGTGGATGGGGAGTCTGGGATTAATTTTGAAGCAGCTGATTAGTGTGTGTGTGTGTGTGTGTGTGTGTGTGTGTGTGTGTGTGTCATGGGATGATTGTGTCTGGGACCATGCCCTAAAAAGCCTTCAGGCTTTACTGCAGTCTGGGAGATAGAAACACTCCCACCTCCTCCTCCTCCTACCATCCCCGTCTCCACCCGCCCCCCCAGCCCCTCTCATCCTCTCATTATGGTTTTTTTTTCTTCACATTTTCCTGTTGTCTGGAAGAAAAACTTGTTCTTTAACTGCTGTGTTCTTTCCTCTTTTCTTTTTTTTTTCCATCACATCACACATCTGCTCCCACCTCCCCGCCTCACGCCGCCTTCCATCTTTTCCATTCTCGCTCCGACGTGACTCCTGAGCGTAAAATTTTGCGGAAATCTTTGTTTTGAGAAAGTGAGCATGGAGAGTGTAGGGTATAACGGAAAGGTTTTTATGTCAAGGTACAATGTAAGATCCGTTTAGGATAACATGTCGACTCCTTCACTTGGCTTCTTAAGGCTTCACATGAACAGTAAACCACAAACAGCACAGGTGATAGAAAGGTGTGACCGGACAAACTGTTCAGCACAGAACAAACCTTGAGCTCACCTTGAAGAGCTAAAATTAAAGGATTATCACATTTACAAAAGAAATTAACAGTTCAAGTACAAAGCTAAAACTAAAGTGCAAATAATTACGTGTTCCATCTAACAAAGCGTAGATGTTAGTATGTTTACATCGCTAACTACGGGGTCAGTGGACAAAAAAAAGAACATTTTTAACTGAAAATGAGCAATCAGGTTTAGTCACAAGGAAAGTACAACTCCAAATCAGCCTGAGAATAAATACAACTTTTTCTCCCTTGAAGTGAGTTTCTAAAGTTTCACATCCATTAAAATGTTCATTTTGTTTCTGGACTTGTAACAGCTGTTTGTAATGTTGGATGTTTGGTGTAAATATTTTTGCATGCATGTTGAAAACTGCAGGACCTTGAAGAAAATGCAGACATCAGTTGAATTGTGTTATCATAACTGCAAAATAAAGCGCCGTTCCTATACGCTTTAACAGGCTTCCTGTTAAAATGAATGTGTCAGCTCAGCTTGCAAGAACCGGATCAGTTCTCATCCACAGTCACTGTAAGCGTCGGGGAGCAATTTGTCTCTCAGTAGCCTTGTGTGGAATTTTCTCGTCTCAAATCAAGTCCAATTATAAAAAGTGAAATGTGGGAATAAAGAGAGTCTACTGCAAGACCCTGATCAGGTCCAACCCAATCCGTCCCCTCTGAGAGTCCACACTCAGGACCCGGACCTCCACCCGTTCCCCAGGTCCCAGAGCCAGGCTGCGTCGGCGCTGGCTGACAGGCAGCTTGTCCAGGGTGATGTTGCTCTTGTGGATGAGGCCCGAACGGCCAACACCGATATCTACGAAAGCCCCGAACAGAGCCGTGTTTTCCACCCGGCCCGTCAGCACCGCGCCCACCTGCAGATCGCTCATTGAGACAATGCCCCGTTTAAAGTCCGCCTGCCCAAAATCTGAGGATGGCAAAGAGAGAAGTCAACAGAGAGATTAGCAAAAAGGTGAAGTGGCTGGATGGAAGAGGGAGAGGGCAAAATCAGGTAGGGGGCAGTTGGTAGAAATGTTTGAGAGGATGGACGGGGAAGGGGGGTGCAGAGGAATCACAGGGCGGGGCAGAAACGACAAACAGATATTACATTTCAAACAGCAACTCAATACTTGTGTGTACATACTTCCACATTTCTCAGCGTTCTATTCAAACCCCACTTTCCACTTTGCCTGCTCATGAGATCTTTTTCCTCTCTGTAACATTAACACAAACAAGGAAGGCGTTCGCTCCAGGAAATAGTCTGGTCCAATTATCCTCCCCACAGCACTGATTTCATGCGGTAGCCTCGGCCCATCTGTTTACTCAGCTGAGCACTGGCTAGGAGGCCAAGCGTAGTGTACTGCAACCGAATAGGGCCAACCTGAGAATGAACCTTGAAGCTGCGTTCCTTAATTTTGAGAACAGTTAGCCAGCACTAACGCCGTATGCAGGCCTGAACTTTTTAACTCTCCACATGAAACTGTAGGAAACAGGAGAGTTTGATAAAAAAAAGGCACAGGAATGATTCTGTAAAAGGTTTTCTTCACTTTCTTTGTTTTGCCAAAACGAGGCTCATCGGCTATTTTATTCATCAGAAATGACCACGCCTAATATTACATGCATGCATGAGTACGGAGTTGCACACACAATAATCACAACTGGGTCAGAAATATTTACTTTCCTTGCAGTTGGCTCAAACTATCCTCTGATTTCAAGCTCTCAGTGTCGCAGCCTATAAACCAGTATTTACATCACATTAATCAGGATTTGAGCAACTTGTACTTCCATGTATCTGCATTACGCGACCTTGAACCTTGCATTTCACGCACCTGGGTTTTCAATGAGGGAAAAAAAGAAAAAGCCAAAGACAGAAATGTGTCATAATCTCTTGAGAAAACAAATTTGAGCCACAACAAAGCGAAATCTAAAAGTTTGTGACTGTGCACGGTTTTATTGGTATGTTTATATGTGCCTGAACTCCAGAGCTGGAGATTAAGGAGAAAAACAGAGTTCTTTGTGCATTTGTGAATGTGTGTGTGTGTGTGTGTGTGCCTGTAAAGACACTCTGTCCAACAACACAGTCTGCTGGACCCATCACACCCTGTCAGAAACATACTGCTTGTATTGTTGGGCTACAGGGAGGAAGCCACAGCACTGTCAGATCCTATCGAGTTACACTGCCAAGACATGCCTATTATAGCGAAGGCAAGGAAAGTCGGTGTGCGCCGTAACTAGCAAACCAGTCAAAGAGCTGGATAAATACGCGTTCGATGTTCTATCAGTCAGCGGGGACCTATAAAGGACATTATGAAGGAAAGACGAGAGACTAAGAAGTTACTGTGACTGATGGGTTGCAGCGTACGGAATTTTTCTAGGATTCAAAATAGTGACAGTTTTGTTGTTCGGTAGCAGGATTTTCGCACAAAAATACACGTGTAAATAACAGACGGAAGAAAATAGAGTTCAACTGTGGTTCGGTTCAGTTTATATTCCCTACCAGTCATGTAACTGAACGGTGTGCGGCGAACCCAAACGTATACAAACACTAATTCCTCTCAGGATCTTGAATGTGCCTTTTTTAAAAGAATTTGCAGAAATGTTGAGTTTATATACGCAACATTTGTTCCCCTTTGTAATTTTTTGCCAGTATTCTTTGATTTAACAAAGCGTTTTTCCAAATTAAAATTCCATCTTGACTCTACTTGCTTACACTGTGCTAAAAAGAAGAGCTGATATCAGTATAACAGTGTGAAAGTGAGTGGTGGGAGACTCACTCTGTCTTATGTCGAACCCGGGAGGCTGCGTGAGGCCGTCCATGATGAGTTTGAGGGTCTCAGGTGTGGTGTCCAGCGTCCGGGCCAGCTCCTCCACACAGCTTGTCTTAACCTTGCTCTCCACACAGTTTCGCAGACCTGCACTCCCAATTTGGTCCACATGCCCACCCACGAATGACAGAAATCTGGAGAGAAGAGATGTGTGAAGAAGAAGAAAAAAACGTATGTAAAATACAGAGTGTGAAAATTAAACTTTTAAAACTACAAAACGCTGACAGCTTTGAAGGATGGAGTACAGGTGAAAGAAAGAGGAAGGGAGGAAAAGTGATGACATACTGGGAAGAATGACGAGGAGAAGAAAAAAAAGAGGGAGAAGGAAACAGGGAGGGAAAGAAACATTATAAGCTCGAGCAGGTAAAGTGAGCGGGATCTGAGGTGTGAGAGCAGCGCACACAAAGTCATGAGCTGTCGAGGTGGAGCGCTCTGTTCTGAAAAACACACACATGTACAAATATACATATTTAATTTACCCCCTGGTAAATCAGGTAAACCCACAGCGGGCTGTAAACGCCCCGACACCTCGTCTCGTGAAACTGCCTCCACTGTGCCGAGGCCGGACCGCCTGTCTGTCAACCACACTTGTATCACTTTATTCGAGCACAATGTCCCACCATGTACAGTCATGTCTAGACAGTCAGTCAGGTCGCACCATTTCTAATTCACTGAGCCCGAGATATAAATCCAAACTAATTAGCTAGCCTGCGCTCTAAACAGGCTTAGTAACAAACCGGAGCCAAAGTAGCAAATAGAGGTTATGGAAAAACGTGAGATGTGTGTGTGTGTGTGCAGCGTGCATGCTGTATATATTATTTACAGTAGGCACTTGGCACAGCTGGTGATAGATGTGAATGCATTTGCGTCTACGCATGTGTTCATGTGTGGACCAGCTGGGTAACGTCCGTGATTGATGTCGCTCACTGGCAGCCTGACGCCAAACAGACTCCGCAGCTGTCCGCCCCGTGATGGACGCAACAGGTGGACGCGCAAACACACACGGACGCACACAAAGTTGATTCATACACAATGTTGCTCAGAAATGCTCGTTTGGCAGTAGCGGGGACAGTGCCGATGTAACTTGAAACGGCTTGTGTACAAACTATGTACGAGACAGCTGTGAGGTGAGAGGCCCCCGCCATCAAAGTCACCATCCACCGTCCAAAACGGGGAGACAAGCGGAATCAATCCCTCAACACCGGCGAGCGAGATTGGTGCAAAATAGTAGCTGAGTGTGTGCCAGAAATGGCTTAGTGGTGAGGAAACAACACCTTTGGACCAAAATGGATGTCTGTGTAACGCTGGGGTCTTCTCCCCTGTGTCTCCCAAAGCTTCTTAGCTTTCCAACCATATATCTCTTTACAGGAAAAGAAACAGTTGTGCCTTGATGGCTTAGCCGTCTAAGTCACATACCACATAGCCCGCCTGCTTGGAGTCCGGCCAGGTATAGGAGGTTGACAAATACGTTTTAAGACAGCAGAATCCATTTTGGACATCTTAGTTTGTTCATCTGAGAGTATAAGCTGCAGCCCAGGAAGGAATATTTGATTTCCAACTAAGATACAAGCAGCAGTGTTACATCCTGAGTCTCATTGCTCATATTTTAACCCTTTGGAGACGTTTACAGAGATACTAATCTGCCTTTTTTTTCTGCACGGAAGAATTTTTGGTGAGGTTTTAGGTGTCCCCCAAAGGAAAACCATTAATGCAAAAATGTTAAGAATTGTGAATAAAAAATATACATGGAGAGATTTTTTTTTTAACCAGTTTTGTTAACAAGGGTTTCATTTACTGAAGCGTAATGATCGTTATTGTTTATCTCATAGTCAGAAATAACAGGAAGTGCACAGATTTCTGTCAAATAAGGTAACATAGATTCATTGCCTTATTATACTGAGACCAATCATACTTATTATTGTGCATAGTCACCCCCTCTAAGGCACGTCCCGAGCCAGGAAAAAACAGTTATCTTACTGGGAATTCTGAAAAAAACAGCTTCTTGTGTTCATCTACACTAAAGGCAAAAGTTCAAACTGTTCTCTAATGGTGATCAAAATCATTCACAGGCTCAAGACAGAGCACACTATCAGTTTACAAATCAAATTAAGGAGCATCTCTTAAACTTGAGTGATAACAAATACTTAGGATTGGAGAGGAGAGATCTTATGAAGGATGTGGTGGGTTCTGCTTTCAGGTGTGTGTGTGTGTGTGTGTGTGTGTGTGTGTTTCTCCCATCTCATTTTTCAGCGGTGTATGTTAGTATTTAAGGGGTACCAGGACTCCTGAGGCCTCCCACCACTGTTGGGTTCATACTCCTGTAATTACTACCAACACCGTGTATGTGTGTGTGTGTGTGTGTGTGAAAACGGGGCTGGGTGGGCTACAATACAGATTTTATCCAGGTCCACAGCAAGAACCCACTCTGCCTCGTGTTATAGAAATATTGGGCCCTGACTGTTCCTTATCAGAGAGTGGAGCCCCTTTGATTCACACTAAATTAATGCTAATATTTCATGGGTGGGACTCACAACGATATGCTCCATTGATGTTTAGTTGTGAAATATTCTAATGTCTTCTCCAGCTGAATGACAACATCCTTTACAGAGAAGTTTCACAAACAAATTCCACCGTTATTGAAACAAAAGGTGGACAAATTGCGTCTGTGTTCTTTGCTTTTGTGTGTGTGTGCGTGTGTGTATATGGTTACAAAAAGGGGTTGATGTGTGGGCTGTGAGCAGTAATGGAGGATCCAGTTCCACTAATGTGATGAACATGATATTCCTTATACACCATAAAGAAACAACACACACACGCAGCATTCCTTCACAATCCTCCCCTCGAAGCCGTCTGTTGTCATCAGTTGGAGGTGAGGACGGGAGGAGATCAGCGAGGCGTCTCAGGGATGCCCTCGTATCTGATAAAGTTGAGATTTTGGATTTTGAGAGAGGTTAATGTGCCTCAAGAGGAAAGCATTTCAAAAAAGAGCTGCTCCTAGCATAACACAACGATTTAAAAACAATGAGCAGGAAGTCACACACCTGTGATGCGTTTTTTTATTTAAATTCGAACACTTTCCACAAACAAATTCATCAAGACAGCAGTTTTTTTTTCATCTGAATTAAGACGAACCACCACAGTTGAGGGTTTATGTGAGGAGGCAGCCAAATTGGCAAATCAACTACACGCTCATCAAGCATGATTATCTATTTTGCAGAGGCGTGGTGTACCCTCTGATTTAAAGTTCAAGCTTACGCCAGGCTGTCTAACTTTGAAGGAAGAGCAAGTACAAACATGCATAGCTTTTCCTTCACTTAGTCATTAGACTTCATTGACCATCTTCTGGAGCATTTAAAGAGGCGTAACATGCTGTGAAACCACAAGACAAATGTTGGGAGGCTTTAAAAAAATATATTTTTTCTCCAATTCTGCAAGAGTATGTAGAATTTAGACCATCAGAAAATGTATTTATATCAAGTGAGAAATTAATCCACACTGAATTGAGCAAATTCCCAGACCTGGATTATAAAGTAGTCATAACAAAGGATACAACGTTTGCCAACGCAGGATTAGGAAATCTGAACAGCGGGAAAAATAGAAAAGCAGACAACAATAAGGGGGCTGCTGAGAAATGAGGGGAAAAATTAATGATCGAGTGGGAGAGAGGAACAGACAAAGGGCAAGTAGGGGAGATGCACTGGAGGCTGGTGATTTTTCTGCCACATACATGCCAAAAAAAGTAGATGAAATTTGGTGTGTGATGCAAAGAATATCACTCCTTTTTGCTGCTTTAGATTAAATTCCATACCTCCATTCCTAGAATAGCAAACATTCAGGTAATTAACACAAATGTAGGTGTTGCATTAAATCATTTTAAAGTCTTTAAACTGTCAATTTTTACAGTCAAGAGTAATTTTGATTCGAGCGTAGCAGCATTTGGGCTCCTTGCTGAGATAACATCACGGAGGATAAAAGACACAGTTAAGAGAAAGAGAATAAAAAAGAATGAAACAGGAACATAAACATTGTAAGCTATATATGCTGGGTTGGATTTGGACGTGTGTGCACGCGCTGTGTAGGAAATAAAAGATATGCATGAGAAGAATTGAAAAGAATAGCTGGTGTATTAAAAAATAAGGAGTTGGTGGTGATTTGTGCTCCCTTATTTTAAACCTCTCACCCCTCAAACCCTTTATGATGAACAACTTTACAACCCAGTATTGAACACGCAGACACATAAATCCGCAAAGACACTCGGACACTTGGCTGAAGTAGGAACGACGAGAAAAAAAAAAAAAAAACACAGTTTCACACAAGCAACATCAATCTATCTGCATGTGTGTGCACACACACACACACACACACACGTACGTACGGAGGCCATTAAAGGCACATCAACATGAGGGGAGCAATGCTTAAACCCACTAGTGTCAGAACTTATGTAGACTAAACACAGTTGAGTGACTACAGCTGCAGCAGAGAGGACCCTCGCTCTCGCTCTCGCTCGCTCTCCTTCTGTCTGTCCGACTGTCTCTCTCTCTCCCACACACACAGGACATAGAAGTCTTGGGCAGATGTTCAATGTGCTTTTGATATCAGCATCAGCAGCGCTAACAATCATTTCTCACACAAGGACACACACGCACCGACGCGCACACACACAAAGCCAACGCCTCCTCTCTTGTATCCCATGTCTGCGTAAATCAAATCAGAGCCCTCCACCACTATAACCAACCCCATATGAGATGGTGTCAAAATCAACTCCATCTTAGCCTGAACATGCTTCGGCCAGTGGGGTAGGCTGCTGCACAAGTGTGTGTGTGTGTGTGTTTGTGTGCACTGTACCTGTGTGCCACGTGGTAGGACTCTGGATGTATGCAGGTCTGATCCAGAGGGTTAAATGAGGTAGGTACGCTGACACCGGTCTTTCCTTTGCCCTTCTTAGCAGCTGATTTCTCTGGTGCTGCTGCTGCTGCAGGCTCAAGTGAGGACTTGACACTGTTTTGGCAAGAAAGAAATGCATTTTATATGTGCAGGGTAGTCCAAGTCTTATGTACCGCATTCAGAACTGTGCATCACAAGCGTGATTCAGTAAATTAGTGGAATCTAGCCGTGCAGACGAGCTACGTTTTATTTCCACCCTAAAACAGTGGTGTTTTATTTTTAACAAGTATTTACTGATTTTCTACTTTTAACACTTTTAACATGTGAATACATCACTAAACAACAAATCAAACACTTGCAAATTAAGACAGAAGTTGACCTGAAGTTCAAATAATTAAGCGCTTTCCCTAAAAAGAAAAAAATAACACAGAAAAAAAAAATAAATAAAAATTTAAAATGTTGAAAGAAGCAACAGTCTCTCACAACAGGAAGTTAATACTTACTTCTACATTAACGTCACACATCTAATGCTTTCTCAATGTCACCAGTCTGATAAATATCAAAAACCAGCGGCCAGGAGAGAGGCAACTAACATTCTTCCAGAGCAGACCAATCGAGCTTCTGGCTAGTAGTCGGTACAGGTCAACCATTTTTCTTTTTCTTTTTTACCAATTGTAAAGATAAATGCCAATAATGTATAGTTTAGGACTGATCGATATTGCAGAAGAGGTGATTTGAGAGAAAAATCCTACCATAGAGTGAAAAATGTGTGAACCTCATTGCATTTCCACACAGAAAGCTTTGAAAAATATTACACTTGCAGCACTGCGGTGGAATAACAGGGTTAGATTTATGCAACTTTGTGGGGGTGGTGGATGTTCTCATGCACTAATAAACACTTTATCCACATATGTGCAATATTTTAACTAATGTCCAATATTTTCATTCCTACAAGTGCAATATACAGTGTACCTGACTGTTTACACAAATGTGTCAAGCATAGCTAATTTTGGTTTTTCTACTTTAATGTTTATATTTTTACTTTAGTTACACTTACATTGCTTGTATATTTACTTATATTTTGCCTCTGTTGTACATCACACTTATTATTTATTGGGCTTTAAAAAAAAAAAACGGGACCTAAGTACTAATTTCGTACCACAAACATGTAAATGTGAGCTGGCGTGACAATAAAGTTTCTTGAATCCCAGTCGAGTATTTCTGGTTTGTGTATGAGCATAATACGGTGGAGTCTAATTAGTTTTGTTTGCACCACTCACTCCATTAAAAGCTTCTGTTTAAAATAATGCAAATCCACCATCAATATTTTTCAACACCGTCTCTGTCTTTGTGCGGATTAACGAGGTTCTGGAGAGGCTTCTTTGCTCTGACCCATCTCTGCTTTACGTGATATCACCATATGACACCACATTTAAATGTTAAAGTGTCACTTTTAATGCTTTGAACAAACTTCAATGCAAGTAAATCAAAATGACCTGAATGGACAGACACCTAAACATCAGTCAGTTGTTTTTGGAATCTGTGGCAACCCTTACATGAGAAATAGCTACAAAAGCATCTTAGAAGAGTGTCTCTGTGGGTGTGGGTGTATAAAGCGTTCATACGTACCTCTGCAGGGTTTGAGGGTTGATTCTGATGAAGCCAGCACACTGCTGGTAGCTCTTGGGCCCCATGCCTTTGACCAGTTTGAGTTGCTCCCTGTTGATGAAGGGACCTTTCTGCTCTCTCCACTCTGCAATACTCCGAGCTCTGCCTGCATTCAGTCCCGCTACATGCCTAAGAGATAAAACAACAAATAAAAAACAAAAAAATGAGAAGATGCCTCACATCATCTGTTTACTGAAACAACTCCTGGAAGTTTGTTGACGTCTTTGTTTAATTCTAAGGTCTCTGTTTGGCATTCTAATTAAATAAAATAGTACAGATAAAAATAAAAGTGTTTAGTTTAAAAATGAGATAGAATCACTAATAACGCGCAGTTCTGTGGTATTTGCTTTGCACGCTGTCAAACAAACAGAGCACATTCAGCGACCGTGACCTGGCATTTAAAACAAGCACTGGAAACACAAGAGACACACACGGGCCAATATTTAGTGAGTATATTTGTCCAGTTTAGGCCGAGCAAAGAAGAGAGGTGATTTGAAACTCAATTAGGTCGACTCTGTTAATGCCCACAGTGACTCACTCGTGCTAAAACACACTGCTATGTCAACACTCCACATAATACCTCAGTCATCAACACGTCTGTGTGTGCCTAACGTGTGCGGGTGTGTGTAGCTTAACTTCTAGCAGGAGTGGAAAAAGCTCACTTGCAGAGCAGACAGGTAAACAGATGACCTGATGCCTGCTTCACAGCTGATGCCAGCTCATTTTATACGGTTTGTGTCCACCACAAAAAAAGTATGTGAGCGTATCTATATATGTGTGTGTACAGAATGGAGTGGCAGCAAACAAATGCACGTGTGCAGCGCTTTTAACCAATGATATGACATGTATATAAATGTTTCCTTGTCTGTGTGTATGTTTCTATGTGTGTAACTGTGTCTACCATGCCTAATCCTGTCTGTTGATTCCAGTCAGCCCAGTAAGTGGGGCCAGGGTGTGAAGCATAGTCTAAACAGAAAGCTGGCATGCTGTCTGTGTGTTTGTGTGTGTGTGTGTGTGTGTGTGTGCGTCGAGCACACGCCCGTGCATGAGTGTGAATGAAGCTTTGCCATGTTGTGACGGCTGAGGGAAAGTATGTCAGGGGTCTGAGCCTCATTTCATCTCTTTCTCAGAACCTGCATGTGTGTGTGTGCAGGACAGAGCGCTCGTCTGCACTCATGCATTTGTTTGCGAGGACACAGTATAAAGGACTGTGACAAAGTTTTCAGCTCTTTAGATGTTTTATGCGTCTTGCAGTTACATCAGGGAGGCATGTGATGGATCCCAGTTTCATTCTGAGGCCAGAAATGAAGCAAGAGTCATTAAAGACCCCTCCCATAAATATCAAGCGTTTTTTATCTTGTTAACATGTTCACATATTTTAGGTTTTTTAATTATTTTTTTTAAATATATAAGCTGGAAGTCATATCATCAGCAAAATAAGCCACCAGGGGCCTGTACTATGAAGCGACATCAACATAGGGTTAGGGGTAGTCAACCCGGATCTCTAAAAAATATCCTGCTTGACTAACCCTAACAACGGCACTCAGGATAACCGGTCCTACGACGGCGGTTATCAACTCAGTAAGTCAACCCAGGTTTGTCTGATCTGAGTATGAGCGTGTGCACATAAAACGTCTGGCTGCAGAACGGCTCACTTTACCGCCGAGGAGCAGTAAGTTCAGCGTAAGTTACCATGGCGATGTAAGAAGTGAACCACCGTCATAGGACTGAAAACCCAGGATTTAACCTGAAGTTACCTCGCTAACCCAAATCCTGCTTTGTCGTACAGGCCCCAGGTGCATTTCTAGTTTAAAAATATAATCTACTGCTGATAGTCTCTTTTAGACTTTTGGAGTTTCAAACACAGCAACCGATCCTGTAAACTTGCAGCAAGGAGCCTTCTGCATCATTCTTCTTCAAAATCAGTTTCCTAATCAAACATGTCGGCTCTAATTACTCCAGTTTTACAAATTGCCACTGTGTTGTGTAGAGTTGCTTTACAGTGTTTGAGCAGAGTTGTAGGTAAGATTTTAGGGGTTAAATCAATGACTGTAAGAACTACATTCAGCAAACAAGACGAAGAAGGGCACCAAAGAGTCCTGTTCTGTCATCAAGTAGTCAGTCCTGGATTACATAAAGAACACAGAAGAACTGTGGCGAATTCTTTAGGATGCTCGGACCATCTTATGTGGACCCTAAACAGCTGTGTGTGAGTGTACCAAGAAGAACCTGTTCTAAGGCAGAGGGTGGTCTCACCAATTAATGACCGGTTTCTCTGTTTGCTGGACTTAATTGATAAATACATTTCAGTGCCTGAATGTTTTTTTACACAGCGCCGTGTGTGTCTGTCTGCATCGTCTACCTCATCAGCATCTCGGAGCAGATGTTGACGTCCACCCCCACGAAGCTCACACACTCCTGCACCACTCCGTCCAGCGCTGCCTTCAGAGCTCCGGTCGACACGTCATGCTGGAAAAGCACATTTCACAAACCCACACGTATTTATGGATGCACGTACCATGCGAAGACACAGAAGAAATATCAGGATGAAAACAACATTAAATCACCGCTTCAGCCTGTTGCTCAGGAAAAACATCGGCCTACATTCTAAGATACACACACATTATTGAATTTCCCTTCTGGGATAAATAAAGTATTTTTCATTTCACACATACGCAACATGAGCAAGTCTTCTCTAGGATTTGTCTATTCTGTTAGGGACAGACTGACACCTAAAAAAAAAAGTTGTAGACAATTATTTTTCATGTATCCTAAAGCTAATACGCTACATTCTGCTGCCCCAGTGCTATAATGTTTAGTCACATATTCATAAATCTTGCCTACCCAGTATATTTTATTGCAGGTTTTTTTAATGGGCTTTACATAATCATGTCCTGTTTACATAATCCCCAGGCTGCACATTTCTATTCCATTTTTTGCTATACCACTATTGAGTCTTGTGTAGCCAATTTTCCAAACGGGATTAGTCAAAATTCATTCTTTAAAGATAAATATGTTATATAACAATAAAACACTGATACACTGAGAGAAGGCGGCGCTGACTGACAGCTAATACAGCCAGTAGGACTCAGAGAAAAAAACAAAGTCAGAGAGAAAGAGCTGATTGACAGACGGAGGGAGCGCAGGAGGGAAAAGAGAGCGCAGAATGTTTAGTTTGGCTTGTCAACAATCTCTCCCGCTAATACACTGTTCTTGTTAGTGTAGCTCTCTGTCAATAAAGAGCCTCCAAATGAACCCCTCACACTTCTCAAACACCAGCCAATCAACCAGTTTTAGAACATATTTTCCAAAAGGACTGGAGTCATTTTTACTAATAAGAAGCAGTGGAGGAGAGGCAACAAGGAAAGTGGAAAGGAAAGGAAAGGAAAGGAAAGGAAAGGAAAGGAAAGGAAAGGAAAGGAAAGGACGGGACTGAAAAGAAAAGGAAAGGAAAAGAAAGGAAAGGAAAGGACGGGACTGAAAAGGAAAGGAAAGGAAAGGAAAAGAAAGGACAGGAAAGGAAAGGAAAGGAAAGGAAAGACAGCACTGAGAAGGAAAGAAAAGAAAAGAAAAGAAAAGAAAAGAAAAGAAAAGAAAAGAAAAGAAAAGAAAAAGAAAAGAAAAGAAAAGAAAAGAAAAGAAAAGGAAAGGAAAGGAAAGGAGAGGAGAGGAGAATAAAACATCTCCATTGATAAACTTGGTGAAAACAAAACACCCAAATGAGATTAACGAAATTCTATGAGGTCTAGCGGCCAAAGAGAAGCCAGAGGCTGTGGTGGGAGGACAGGGCCAAAAACCAAAGAGTTCAGCTGGAGACTGATGCCTCAGCATCTGCTGGAGGATTAGCTGACACTCTAAACTAGACTACTGTTGGGCTGTGATTGTGTGTGTGTGTCATGTGTATGAACGTGACCGAGACTAGCATGGGTCGTCCTGTAACATGATCGAGCTCTGAACAAACACTGACTTGTAAACAGATAACGACAACGCCAGCTAGCAAACACACCCTCGTCTGTCAGCAGTAACAGGACGGCAGGACAGATGAGGACAGAGAGGGAAGCTGAGGATGAGTGACGGAGAGCTTTTTTTTTTGGTTTTGGTGGGCCACTGGTTTGGACAAATTGCTCAGGACTGACTGACGATCCTTTTTTATGAAATACATGTATAATATGAACAGTTGTTATTTTCTTACTGCAATCTAAAAGACAAGGAAAAAGCACGTCATCCTTAATTTCACACAAAACGTAGAGGCCTGCTCCTTCAAGTTCTTCAACACTGTCCTACTAAATCACACCACTGCTGCCTTCATTAAGCTGATTAGTTCCCACTTCAAACATGACAAACATCTCTAACGCTTCCCAGCCCTTCCTTCAATCACACCTCACCCGATTAATTACAATAACTGCAAAAATAATTACTCCGATTATTATCACCGATATCAATTCATGAGAAAATTCTGAGAATTTGCTTCAATAAAGAGAAATTTAGATAGGAAACAAAATCCTAGAGAACTGGAAGAGCAAAGAATATATCATATAATATCTGTCAACAGCAATCAGAACGATGGGATGGCGTGGAATGAAGATATTCTATGGATTTTCCCACATGGTCACATTGCCAAGATGGGAAGCTGAGGAACGAGGAAGGACACCGTGTCGACATCTAATCGACAGAAAGTGTCTGCTGACGTTTGTGTTGTTGATGCAGCACTTTATGAACACGTTTTAATTCTGCTGTGTGTCTCTTTGTGACCTGGTGTTGTGTGATGTAACGTCAGTAAACAAATTATATTCAAGGAAATTAAATAAAAGAAGAGTTCATTTGCAAAAACAGATTTTTTGTAGATTTTTGGAAAATGTTTTTTTTTGTTGTTGTTTGCTTGAGATAATGTCAATCAAACTAAAATTGAGTGGGTCAGACTCAGTAGAAATGACAAAAATAGAGATAACTTAAGTCTGATTGATATTGAAAAAAAAATCTATATAAATAAATATATATATAAATAAATATATAATAAAAATAAAAATATATATATTTTTTAAAATAGCAATTTAATTAATATTAATAAAGTTTTATTCTAATTTATTCTAATTCTATTGTCTACAATTCTACCATTTCATTTAGCAGATGCTTCTATTTAAAGCGACGTACATCTGAGAGCAGATACAACACGAGCAAGGATCTGGTCAGGAGGAAACAATCTAGATCGGTGCCATAAAACAAATTCAAGTGTGATCGGTTGCTGATACCAATAGCAGGCTGTGTGGGAGGTAATAGGAGTTTTTGTTTGTTTGTTTGTTTGTTTTTGTCAAGTGCAAAGGTGTTCAGTGAAGAGCTGAGTCTTTAGTCTTTTCTTAAAGACTGAGAGGGAGATTGAACAGAGTTTGGTGGTAACTCGTTCCACCAGCGTGGAACCACAGAGGAGAAGAGTCTAGCTGTCGACCTCGGGCCCTGTTGCGGTGGTTGGATCAGGCGTCTTTTTGTCGGTCGAGCGTAGTGAATAAAGAAACGTCTTACGTGAGCAATTTTAACAACATATACAGACAGTACAAACAGAGGAAAACTAAGGTCTCTAAGGTTCTGACTGCATCAACTTCAATCCACAAAAATAACTAATTATCACAGAGAACTGGTTATCCTGGTTATTTTCCGTTACCGAGCTGCAGTTACTAATTACAGGTTTTTAATTTCATGATTGTGGATCTGAATACTGTTCCTAGAACTAATGAGAGCTTACTGTTTCCTCTCAGTAATTATTTACTGGATACAATCTTTATTAACTCAGATTTAATTTTTAGTTCTAATGTTTGCAAGAACATCCTTTAGGCCGATTACTGCAATATCAACAGAAGCTGTTCCAAGTCCCGCCTGCAGTAATTAGGGTGATAAAAGTTGTTTGCTTCAGCAGAGAGGAGGTGAGAGGACAGCAGAGAGACAGCACAGCACCCCTGCTGACTGATGTGGTGATCTGCAGTCTCAGTGAGCTGAAGGTGTCGTGGTAACGCAGCCGGAGGCAATTTGGAAACAATAAAAATAACTTTCCAAACAAGAAGAAGTTCCCATAAAACTAGGACTGAAAGATTTACGATTTCTGGTGAGCGGATATTAACCAAGAAGACACTCGGAGAAGACAAAGAGGAAATCACCTGTAATGTCACACCAGAAAAGAATGTTTTCACACGAGAACGGTGGAGGTGTGCGAGGCAGTGTGAGTTTTAACCTGCAGTAAAACCCCAAATGAATGTGTTCTCACATTCTTATTGAAACCTTATAGAGGTGGGAGTATACGCGGTGGTATGGTAGCTGCAAACACACGTGCACCTCCGTACATACCTGTGCTCTATCAGTGACGGGAAAAACTCAAACACCTGAGCTTTAATCCATTCTAGTCAAAAACGGAAGTAATGGGGAAAAGATCTAGAAACATGGTGATGGAGGTAGTAAACTCCAGCCACACGACCATGTGTCAGGGGTTTCTGAAGCATTTTTTAAAAGCAAATCCCAACTAACACAAATATTTTACTCTAAATTACTCGTGTTTGTAATGTGGCTTCGAACAAGGCTTGGATTTGCTTAATTTGCTGGTTATAAATCCCCATTCTCGTGCCAGCTGAGGACATACTTATGACCTGTTAGACTGCGTATTCATGTCTGTATATATGTGTGTACAAGTTATTGGTTTCCTCTGTTTCCTATGAAATGTACTCTACTGTGTAAATAAAGTTTTTCTTGCTTGTTAATGACTCCATAACGATTTGCTAAAAGACGTGCAGTGTGGGATTTCCCTCTCTGGCACAAAGTAACGCCATCAATTCTGCCAAATCGAAAACATACAGTAATGCAATCTTCAACTGAAACTTCACCGACGTCTGACTCTAACAATTGCATATTTGAAATATTAGCAAACCTCAGCTGTATCCTAAAATTACACTGGCATACATGGCCAGCAAATGGCTTTTCAGGCTTCACTTCAAAGAGAAACCCTGCAAAAATTAAATTAAAATAAAATAAAAAGCTCTGGCTAGATGTGAAACACCACATTTATTGATTATTATACTCAACAGATACAGCTACTGGCTGGCCTACTCATAAACAGCACAAGTTTGTATTCACCTACAATATACAGAAGCTCAAATATTACAAATCAATAATTAATAATCATCATCTTGCCGATCAAATGAGGCACAACTTAACTGGTCACCAATTTGCTGCTACACAATAAAAATCTGTTTCCATGCCTGCAAATACGTCGTAAACACGATCCCAGACAGGCAACTAAAACACACACACATACACGCAAGGAGGAAATAAAAGTTTTTTTTTTTTAAAAGGTCACAGTTTGAACAGAAAATTCTAGTTAAAGAGAAAACCAGGCAATCGGGCAAATCAACAGACACAGATTTAGAGAAGTGTGTCTCTGGCACCAACAGCAGTGATTTAATGTGCCAGAGCCGGAGTGGAAAAGAGTA